ATCATCCACGAAGGATGACCTCAAGTAGAAATTGGATATCATGCTGCCTGATATCGAGCTGGCTGAGGTTGGGATTGAACCTGATACTAATTCGAGCCAGTGTGTTTAACCACGACGGGTACTACGTTAATATATTTAATTTTTGACCACTTTCTAGAAAAACACAAATAAATTTTATTATGTTGTACTAAAATCTAGAGTTAGTTAATGAATACTTACCTTAGTGGTCACGTTTTATATTTCTTTGTGTATTCCCAAGGACTTGGTTTATTTTAAACCAGTACAAGTACAAATTTTAGCACAAAATATTTTAACAATATCAATTATCTCACCCAGGAAAATCCGATGCATCCAATGGCATCCGACAGCATGTCTCCCAATATCGAAGGATAAGAGTTGCCAGATGGGAAATAAGCGTGAAATCGAGGATGTTGCCAGTGCGTGACACCTGGCATAATTTTATCTTCAACGTCTTCCATAATTTTAGTCCATTCTTCACCTGTTTCTGGAGCTTCACTCGGGAGCAGTGTTTTTAAATAACCTGGTTCGACATCAGGAATCACCCTGTACTTTTCGATGTTCTCCAAATAGGAACATATGTAGTCTACCATTTCTTTGCCGTGGCGACGGAAGTCTTCGGCGTCCATTTCGGGAAAATTTTATTTGCAGGCTGAATAATTTTAATATTTTTTAAGATAGGTGACTTGATGGTATTATATTGTAAATACTTGAGCAACAAAAGATATTAGAAATAAAAATGTTATATATTTGGAGCATACTTTGAATTCGTCAAAACTGTTTTTATTAAAACAACATAATAAGAAAAAGTTTCAGTTTGGGAAGTATCATAATGATAATTTTATATTCGCGTCATTTGATTTTTCTAAATATTCACTCCCATTTCAAATCCAGTAATGAAATTTTATTTACATCTGTTGCTGATTCCAATTAATATTTTTGAAGTAAAACTTCTTTAGGCGCGACTAGGGTGTAAATCCGTACAAATGCAACGGAAGTCCGTTACGCCCGAACTGTTCGTCATTCGCTCTCGATGAGATCATTTCTATACGGGTCGATTGTGATTAGTCGTCGTGTATGTGAATAGAGATCTGTCGTTGTATGCGTACCGGCGTCAACGTTCTCAACAAGGAAATCGACATAGATAAATAAACATTTTAAAGTTACATCGTAGTACAAATCTTGATTTAATAAAAAATGTCTAAATTAGAAGAATATTTTACTCTGTTCCCTTGAAAATAATAAAACAAATTAAACATTTGTGCCGTGTACTAAACGTAAGTTTATTGATTAGAAACTATTTCTATATTATTTGCAGTTTCTATAAATCTTTGAATTTATTAAAATGGAAAATATTTTTTAGGCAAGGCAGATATTACAGCTGTTTGAAGAATGAGATTATATCGCCAGCGAAAAAGTAAAAAAATACAAGCAGTCAATGAATGTATGTTAATTTTAATTACATGAAGTTCGTCAAACACAATTACATAATGAGTGAAGTTGTGAAAACAATATTTTTTTAGGCGTTGTTTAACATAATCCACTGTGTGAACAAATATTATAGAATTTATTAATCAGCATATACTTCATTTCTCTATTGAAGTTTCATTTCTAAATGCTAATTGCAATGACAAACCGATCATGTCGTATTTGAAGTATGACTTTAATTGTTTTTAAATATTATACATAGTCTTATTGCTATTATATATATATATATATATATATATATATTATATAATATAATTTATCATTATATAAATGTGTATAATGTTTGGCACTAATAAATGCGGGCATCATGAGTTTTACTATATTACTAATAAACGCGGTTTTTTATCAGCAGTATGAGTTAGATGTTTATTTTAGAAAAACGGTGATTATGTGTTAAACATTGAATTTAATTCAAATTAAATAAATTGAATTTATTTTAAAATAAAATGGTTAAGTTGCATTAACTATAGTTAGTGGTTTCAATTGTAGGATGCTTTCCACTGTCGCATTTAATATATAACTTTTGGAATGCACATATTTTAAATAAAGCATATGAGAATTCATTAACTTCATGTAAAATATATCATTTTGAAAGATGATATTAAAATATAGATCAAAAGAGCATAATTACTAACGCCTACTGTCAAAGCAATATTCCTGCTAGTGGGTGGATCAATTAATCTTTTATCAGAAAATATGGAATAAAATAAATAAATATGTAAAAATTATATTTGAATGATTATTTTGAATCTTATGTAAAAAAATAATTTCAAATTCATAGATGGTCTAACAACAAAAATAGGATATTCAGGTTGTGTAGAATGGAAAATTTGCTTTTTTGGATCGTTGTAGTTTCTCCGTAAATTAAAATTATTTGCTAAAAAGTTTAAGTAAATGATATAAATTTTGATAGACTGCAGCTGAAAATATATCGCATGAAAACAGGATTATTAAAATTTTGTCTTGTTTATGAAATAAATAAAGATTTTTAATGAATTAATAAAATACCCACAATTTCTTCACTCACAAGATATATTGTTTACTATGAATTAGAATCATTAAATATTTTAATTTTAAATTTGTTTTAAAAAATTCCTTTCTATTTGGCATATTGATTTTCTGAAAATCCTTGTGAACTGATAAAATTTAATTTCATACATGATTTATGTTTCGAAAAATTACTTTTCCATTATTTTTAGAGTTATTTATAATTCATATTAATTAATTTCTATTGATATTGATATTTTCGTCTGAAGGAACTAGAAGCCCTTTGATTTAACAACTGTATCTAAAGTTTTAATTAATTTATTCATTTAATTTAATTATTAATATTAGAAAAATTTAATTGAATTGCATTTAAATTAAGAAATGACTATTTTTAATAAATTTAAAGCAAATTACTAAAAATTCCATTACCAATAGTTTACTAAATATTTAATTAGATTAAATCATTCGTTTATGTTTTAATTTAGCATTGAATTTTAGTAGTAATTTAAATTTTCTTAGTGAAATATAAATATATATATATATATATATATATATATATATACTTTTTAAATAATAATACCTGTATAATATAAGTGTTTCCTTAATTATACGATTAAATTTTATCAAATAACTTAATTTATTTCACTATGAACTACACAGTTTTTCTTCGAACAAATATCAATTTCACCACTAAACACTTTGAAACAAAATTATTAACGCGATAGAAAAAGTATTATCACTTAACACATTAATGTAATTAAATTTTCCGTAAAATCTCGTCTAGTCTTTGTGGCGAACTTTTGTGTACTAGCTGTTTCTGCTTTTAAACTATAGTTTATATACTAGATATGATGTATTAGCTATGGAATCGTGCCGGTTTCTAATACATTCAAAATTGCGTTTACATTGAAACTTCAATTCTGTGTAAAGCAGCAATCTGTAAATTGATGTTGAGAGTTTTCTTTTTGTATTTGACATGTTATTTTGATTTTCGTGGATGGAGTCATAGAAATTTTTAACGAAAATTAAACTTTGAAGATATTTCTACTAGAATCTTTTCCGGAGCTTTAATCATTTTCTGATGACGTTTATCCATACTTTCACAATTACTCATTTTGGGTACTCAATCTCTCACACTTCTTTATTCCCTTAACTCTCGTCTTACTCGCTCGGCATTTTACTCACTTTTACGTACTCGCTCGGTATTTTACTCACTGTCATACACACTAGTTCTACGTTTTACTAGCACTTTTTCCGGAGTTCTAATAATCTTCTGAGAAGATTTATTCATATTTTCACATTTACTTCTTCTTGGTACTCTTTTTCTCTCTCGTCTGGCACTTACTCGCTCTTGCTCACTCGCTCGGTATTTTACTCACCCTCACACTCTTGCTCGGTATTTTACTCACTCTCGCACATTTGCACGGTATTTTACTCACTTACATACTCGCTCGGTATTTTACTCACCCTCACACATTCACTCGTCATTTTACTCACACTCCCACACTCGCTCGGTATTTTGCTCACCCACACACACTCGCTCGGTATTTTACTCACCCTCACACATTCGCTCTGCATTTTTCTCACTCTCATACACTTGCTCGGTATTTTACTCACCCTCACACATTCACTCGTCATTTTACTCACACTCCCACACTCGCTCGGTATTTTGCTCACCCACACACACTCGCTCGGTATTTTACTCACCCTCACACATTCGCTCTGCATTTTTCTCACTCTCATACACTTGCTCGATATTTTACTCACTCACACACTTGCTCGGTATTTTAGTCACTCTTACACACTCGCTCGGTATTTTACTCACCCTCACACATTCGCTCGATATTTTACTCACTCACACACTCGCTTGGTATTTTAGTCACTCTCACACACTCGCTCGGTATTTTGCTCACACCCACATTCGCTCGTCATTTTACTCACTCTCACACACTCGTTCAGTATTTTACTCTCTCTCACTCATCACTCGCTCGGTATTTTACCCACCCTCACACTCTCGCTCGGTATTTTACTCACTTTCACACACTCGCTCGGTATTTTACACACTCTCATACACTGGCTCCCACATTCGCTCGTCATTTTACTCACTCTCACACACTCGTTCAGTATTTTACTCTCTCTCACTCATCACTTACTCGGTATTTTACCCACCCTCACACTCTCGCTCGGTATTTTACTCACTTTCACACACTCGCTCGGTATTTTACACACTCTCATACACTGAGTCCCACATTCGCTCGTCATTTTACTCACTCTCACACACTCGTTCAGTATTTTACTCTCTCTCACTCATCACTCGCTCGGTATTTTACCCACCCTCATACATTCGCTCGGTAATTTACTCACTCACACATTCGCTCGGGTTTTACTCGCTTTTACACACTCGCTGGGTATTTCAAACACTCTCTTACACTTGCTCGGTATTTTACTCACTCTCGCACATTCACTCGGTATTTTACTCACACTTACTCACTAAGGCTTGGAAATTGGCACATTTACACCAGTACAGATTTTTAATGGGTAGTTCAAAGTTTATAGTTGGCATAATCATATTTTAATAATTTCTATCTTAATTTCATCTACTTGCGGCAAGCTTGCAGATCAATATAATTCTCTATACTAACTATAGTAAATGTTAATTTACTGCAAAAAATGTAAATAGCAACTTAAGAAAAGCATCTTACTTAAGCATAAAAAATAAATGGCTTGGGCTTTATGAACCTATAATTAAACGAGTGTTTAAATTTAGTCTTAGGTACACAACACCAAACTTTAGTTCTATATATCTTATTATTAATAGTGTATTAATATCATTCTATATATTTTATATTTTTTTATTTCACACTTTATTTCGAATAATAAGACAGTTTTAGAATTGTTATATCAAAAAAATCGCCAACCCGTCACTGCACCAGTTATCATGATGACTATTATTTATAGATATCATTAATAATTAATATAATTAATACTATCGTTTTTACATAAAATTCGTACAGTTTTAAAACATTTTACTGAATAGAAAATCCATCATAAATATTTTAAAAATTCCTTGTCGTTTTAAGTTCACTCAGTCGCAAAGGATTATTGTCATAAATTCGTTTTCACAATAGCGGAAAATTAAAACAACGGGAAATTATTATATGTAGGATGCATGAATTTATAAAAATGGATAAAATGAAATCATCACTAGTTTTTAAATATTCCATTTATTATATATTTACATCATTTTGATGATATTGATTTATATATCTCTTTTATGTAATTTTGTTAATAAAAACAAATTTTAATTTTAATTAAATTCTAAGACCATCGTTAACTGAGGAATCCAAAATTCTAAATTATTTTTTATCATATTTTTGAAGATTTTTTCATATGGATTTAGAATTTCTAGGTAATTTGGAAAAATGCTCGTTTAGGTGTCAAGGAAAAAATGTTAAAAAGTTGTAATTTATTTACAAATAATCATTACAGATATTATTATTATATATTATTATTGACTTGTACACATGTAGAAATATTAATACATAAATAACAGGTAGACAGGTGGACAGGTAGACAGGTGAACAGGCAAATGAGTAGGAAGGTAAAGAATATAAGTGGACAAACTGGAAGATTGGCAGATTAAATGGACAGTTAAATATCATATACAAATCGAATTTTTATTGATTAAATCGATTATTTACACATATCGGGAAGTCCATGCAATTTTCCTAGCCAAAAATTCCACTTACACCCAGTAATTTAGTTGAAATACAGAACCTATGGATGAAAATACATCCGCACACACATTCATTAATAAATAAAACATACTAATGCATCTATATTGCAAATCTGAAAATGCAATTTAATGCATTCTGATATAAATTTCAAAATCTACTTAAATATTGAAAATGATCTCTGGCAATTTGGTATTGTAGAATGAATAAATTAATTAGTAAAATAAAGTTAAAATCGACTGTATTCAAATCAATTCCATCAATAGATCGATGAAAACATTATATCTCACAGAGTTGATTAACTAATTAGATTTTCCGTGGTCATGTGGTTGGTTTTACTATGAATGCGACAAGAGAAACTTTGTTAAGTTAAATTGAATTAAAAACCAATAACAGATAATTAACCAAAGTATAATGTTTTGTGACTTATTAGTTAACAAAGCTATTCAAAAAATTAGACAAACTCGACTAACTTGTATGACAAAAAATCTTTCAAAAATCCAGTATTTCTTGGTGTTAATGATTTACTTATATAATTATGAATTCACATATATGTATCAGCTAATTTTTTGATTATTACCTTTGGCAATTGCGTGTTAGGTCAAATTGAAAAGTACATATTGATTTTTATACTTTGATACAGATTTATCTATATATGACATACTAGCACTTTATACTAGCAATAATAATTTTTGTTGCAATAAATTTTTTTGTCCAATGGATGGACACATCAGATTTACCAGTTTTTAATGGATAATTCTCCGACAAAATAGTCTGCAATATAGTGTCGGATTTTGATAAATTTTTCTGAAGTTTATTAAGGAAATTTTTAAGGAAGTAAATGATTATAAAAATATACTAATATTGTAGAAATAAATGGAAAAAACTACAAAAAAACACTTATCATTGTTTGATATTGAAATTGATATTATCTGCTAGTAAAATGTCAATTCACTTGAAATTTGAATTTAGCTGAAATTATGAGCCTAGATAATATTAAAAATATGATATGCAAGAATAATCTAATGAATACATTATTATTGCTGAGAAGCAGCTGAGATGTGCCAGAAATTAAAACAATGTAAGGTACAGTCAACAGTATGTTTTGCAGATGAAATTGTATAATTCAGTTTAATAAATAACGCAATAGGTCCAAAATTGCATATACATTTTTTTTTAATTTATGCATGTCGCATTTTGGAACTTTTGAATTGTGAGTACAAAACAACGTTTGTCGGGTCATCTAATCTTTACATCAATTAGCAATCGTGAACTGCCAAAATGCTATGTACTATCTATGAGTATTGGTTTTAATATTATCTTAGCTATTTTCAAGTAGTTCAATTTTAGTAAACATTACACACAAACTGGTATTTCTTCTCCATTGCTCATCCCAGCAATTATAGTGAAATACTGATTGACAAAACAAACAAACTCCGATGCATCTGACTGACGTCTGTCTCAACAAATTTGTGAATGAATTGAGAAAAAAATTATTACGTAATTACGATGTCAGTAAAATGACGTTAAATTGATTTATGAAGTCATCGACTAACGCATATTTATAAATTTATTAGTCGATCAGCTATTTCGGAGTCTGCGATTTGTAATCTGCGAAAAACTAATCTATCACCAGTGACGTAGTAGGAGATGAGCGATGAAAACGATAGTTGGACAGCTCGTAGAAATTTTGTAAATAGACATTTAATTTTCTATTTCCGGACTTATTGTGCCGCGAAAATACTCTTATGTTATTAAAAACTCATATAAATAAATCGTTTTTTGTTACTGCTTTCAATTCATGGCAATTCTTTATATGTTATTAATTTTTTCTTTGAGGAATTTATTTCACAATCTTCCTTAAACGTTTGGTAAGAAAAAAAGAGTGTGCGTAAGGTTCACACGCAATTGAAGTAAAGCTTATTTGCTACTGTACAAGATGGCATTTAA